TTAAACTCTAATCATTGTCGTTTACATTGGAAATTAGTAGCTTATAAGCATCCTAAAATTAGAAGGCAAAGCTGTTAATCAGAGTGTCTTCAGATGCTGTATATTTATGTGTTAAAAAAAAAGAACAGTAGAACAAATGATAAGCTATTGAATAAACTGGATGAAAAATGTACAATGCGTGGCTTTGGGAAACACACTGATAACCCCTAAAAATGTTTTTATAAAGCACAGGACTTTGGGAAAATCTTACCTGTGCATGATTTATATTTTGATCGAATTAAATGAAACTAGAAAAAAGTTGTTCTTCTTTCAAAGCAATGTGGCAGTTCCATTTGTATAACATATAGGATATAGCCAGTGTGTCTCATTCACAAAGATATGTAGTTGTTTACATACATTTTTTAACTATTTAAATAAAGGGTGCTACAAATCTTTGAAAACTAGCAGTCTACAGAAGTAATGATAATGATTACTTGAAATATTTAGCTCCACCACGTTAGTAAAGATTTTGCTAAATGAGACAAAGAAGTGGTAAACAAGTAATTGGTTTCTCTAATTTATTTTCAGTGCCCCCAAAACATTATTGTGTTCTAAAAATCATTGGTTTACATAATAACTTTAGTTGTGGCTAAAGTTGAAGTCTCTTAAGTTTACATATAATGACTTAAGAAAGACCATAATTCAAACAACTTTACCATCACATTTCCTAATTTCTCTACTAAAGTTTGAATTAGCCATTAGCCATTGATCAGAAGGACCTCTGTATAAAAGGATTCCATGGCTATTAGGCAACATTTCCATCTAAAAACTAATTAAGGTACAGACTGAAAAAATGTAGCCTTGGTTAAATGATAATTGCACCTAGGATTAGCACACATTTAGATGTCATGATTTGACTAAAATGCTGCAAAGCCTTTATGTATATTTTCCATGTCTTACTAATTAGATTACCCTATAATACTCTAAGATTTAAAGTGTATTTATTCCAATTAAGTTATTAGTGTTCATGTCAGCGATGCATTAATCTATCTTTCTGATTTAATTGAGGCTGGCTAAGTGAAATAAACCACTGGTAAAATGTTAATGATGCACCAATCCTTGGGATTTACAATTGGCTGAGTGCTTTCTGAATGCTCACAGTTTGATTAAGTCTACATCATCTACACAATTAGATGGAACAATTAACAGAAGCACATATCTGTAGATTGGGTTCTGCAGTTGCACATGTGTGCTTCACAAAATATGGCAAGGTTCATTAATGGTCAGGCCATAGGCTTATCTCATTTTGTGCTCAGTGAACTGCGCTCTTTGAACTATTCCATGTCATATTGGAATTTTCCAGTTTTGGCTCAACAAGGCAAACTTTTCAAAATTCATACATACAGTCTTCTTTCTTAGTAGGACAGCTAATGCTAAACTTTAAAAATGGATTTACAAGGTTTTGTACATATATAATCAAATGCTTCTTTAATCAATAAAAAAAAAACTGGTTTGGGAATGGCTAACAGCTGAAACTTTTCTAAAAATGGGGAAATGGTGAATTTTTTTGCCACAGTTTCCTAATTTATAATTTGGGACATTTTGTCCCCACAAAGACAAAAACACAGAGCAAGCACACAGCACACACGCACATACATACACACACACAGGTAAGTAACACCATGGAATTTCCCCCTCCTCTGCAGAGACACCCTTGCATATGTTTGGTTTAAAGTGCACTCGAAGCAGAAAACAAAGCATTACACTGAAGTTTTCTCTGTAACCTGTAAGATCCACATAATACAGAATGTAGCGCAGAACTTCAAGTCAGTAGTCCCTCTAACCCAATAAAACCATGACCCCACCCCCTTCCCCGTCCACTTCCACCATTCCCAACCCCCCTCCCTGTGTGTGGTCAGGTCACAACGCTAGTAAGCGGTCTTCTTTGGCTCTCTGGGGGCTGTATTGACATGCCAATGCCTTCAGCAGATCCTTCCGATAAGTCTGTTATATCTTATTCAAATCAGGGAATGTCCTGCTTCAAACAGAAGCATTTTTAATTAGAATCCCTTTGAATCAACTTGGTGGTATGAATACCATAGTTTTAATTGAATAATGTCAATGTGATCAGACGCTATTTCAAAGTATCTACCATCAGGATTAAAGAGTTGAATTAAATACTTGAGAACACTTATGGGCATGTGGCAATGTGCAAGGTTTTGATGAGATAAATTAGCTACTGCTGTTTCTGGTCAGTGCAAACATAAAGCAGTGCAAGTTTATAGTGCCTTGTTAAGGGCTGCAACAAAACAAAAGGCACTATCATAAAGCTTTTTGTTAGTTAACTCACTGAATGTCTTCACTAGTGATCAGTGATCTACTAAATGCCCTAAACTGTGACATGGGGTATTACAGCCTGCAAATTATCTTTAAAGACTTAAAGACACCTTCAAATTTTCTCTATATGCTTAGTTGTTGCAACTTTACTTGCATGAAGATTTATGTGATGCAGATTAGGATTTGACCTTTTGCCCTCATGGCCACTGGTCTAACCCCTCCAGCGCATCCACTCCCACACTGTATGAAACCAAAGACTCAGTTTATATAGGAGGAGAGCCATAAAACCACTGACCCCTTTTAAAGCTAGTTTTTTACCTTTATGTCCACCAGAAATTATTAGAGACATTAACAAACAAAACAGTGGCTGTGATGTGTTACCGATCAATCCCCAACCTAAGTTACATTCAAGAATAGCTTAATTACCCTTTCGAAGTTAAAAATAGTGAAAATGCAGAGTGGACAATCTTATATGAGTAAGTGGACAGGCTTTTTAGATTTCTATCATCCTAGATAAACATGTCGCTTAAACATTACACTTCATATGGGATTTTATCTTTTCCTATACTGCACACAGAAACTCAGTTCAGAGATCCACACCCTTGAAATAATGTCTCTTCATGGGTTTTACAGTAAATGCAATGGTCATATATACAACCATGAACACTCCAAAGAACCATCTGAATGCATAAATGGCACTTCTCTTCAACTTGTTTTTAATATATATGTGTGTGTGTGTGTGTGTATATGGAGATTATTTATATATATATATATATATATATATATATATATATATATATATATATCCATACACACACACACATATATTAATATTAACATATATATATATATATATATATATATATATATATATATTCCACCAAGATGGATTCTGCTATCGTTCCAAGTTGCAGAACCTTCTTTGTACTATCTACACCCCCTTTTGCTAAGAGTGCAGGCCAAAGGCCTCATAAATGAGTGCTACTTACTTTCTACTATTCACAGCTATTGTTCTGCCTTCTAATTGTTAATCTCCTTTCACTATAACTTGATACGCTAAAGGAAACGGTAGCTTAAATCACGTTAAAGCAAATATTTTACTAAAAAGGCTCTATCAGCTAAGGTGTTTCGGAATCATAATGTACACTTGGCACTACAGTCTAGCAAGAATAACTGTAAACGTGTTTATCCATCACAAACTGGTCCCTGAAATAATGTACAGATCACCGCAGTTCACCTTACGAAACGGTAGGCCTTTCAAATGGAACTGAAAAACTTGGTCGAGAAAGTATTGCACGTCACCTTATGGTGAATGAATTTTTAATTTTGCCATCAAGCGAGAAAGTATTTCACTGGTTTAAGCGGCGAGGACAACAGAAAAGCGCCCACTTCACTCTAGCAGGCTGCTCCTCTTTGAACTCAGCCTAGCAGACAAAGCCCACTGCAAGGAGACGAAAACAGTGTTGAACTATGAAAAAACACGAGGACCTTGTGCTCCTATGATCAGTATGAGCGGAGAGCCCCGTCCGCTCCCTGTAGCCTATGAGAAGCCATTTTCTAAAAAAAAAATGAGGTCGGTGCTGCCGCCACGTGTACAATCTGCAAGTCCTTCACTACTACCAACCCGTTGCACTGCTGTTTACTGACTCCTAGCTTTGCCATGAGCTCGAATGGTCACTTTGGGTAATATTTCACAGAACGAAGCTCACAGAAATCCAGTGAAGAAGGAGAAAACGTTCAAACGTGCCGTTTGTATTTCTAAGGGCTTGTGCAACAGTTGATTCGCCCACTTCCTGCTGGCAGGCGGCATGCTCCACCAGGCCCTTCACTCTCACAGTCCTCCATTTTGACTCGATTGTCAAGCTTATGCGTGTCTCACTGAGGCCCACTGAAAGCACTCGGCTGCGAGGGCTTAAATTCTCAAATATGACATGTAAGGAAACTCCAGCATGGTTTAGGTGACGCCGGCCCCCCGACGGCAAGGGATGTTGTATCATCCCCTGCTAATGTAACGAAAGCGAAGCAACAGATACAACGTTTCACCTTAGTGCATGTGGACAGTGTAACAAGTAGGCCACTCAGAATATTCTCAGCCTGAACTGTTAGCCTACTATTTATACACGTGAAAAATGCAAATACACCCCTTGTTGTTGTTTAATGCTCCCTTAGACAGTTTAGGTCACCCGTACAGCCTCCTCAGCTGCACGCCAACCAAGCCGTCCACATAGCTCGCTGCACATGGCTCCATAGGCTCTGCAGTGGGTGGGGAAAAAGTGACTTTACGAATGATACATTTGCAGATGGCTTGTAAGTGTAAGGTGAATTTTAACACAGCATGGCCTTTTTGTCCAACACGTCAATTTCGCCCCACTGGAATCGGAAACATGCCTACTAGTGTAAACACGCCGACTGTGGACAGCAGCAGCAAAAATGTATGTTTCAGCATGACATTCAACACGCAAGCGTGTGCTGGGCTACGTGTATGCACATAGCTTAGCCGGTGCGCAGAGCCTACTGCACGGTAGTCAAAGCGCATTGCACACAGAAGGTTCGCTTCCCTAGCACACCCATCTGCTGCTGTGCTACATGCACACCGAGGAAGACCGGCCCCTTCTCTAGCTACTCCGAGAGACCACGTGGTTTCCTCTTTGCAAACAATTTTAGTAAATTCGAGTCGGTTTAGAGGCGGTGCCATCGCCAGGCAGTAGGATCTGTGTGACAGTGCAGGGTACAGCTCTCGGTTGAGGGGCAGAGAGGAAAGAATTTCTCCCGATCCCGCCATACTTCTACCACTATTCCACCATAGCCACCATCAAATGAATTCAGACTGATACCGCTTTCCACACTGTGCAGGAAATTCGCAAGGATCGCTACAGTCACGGATTCTCCACTCCTCCGCCGGACTTCATCAGGCTGCAACATTACTGTTAGTCGAACTTTACCCTTTTATTCAGGATTCCTGCTTTAAAATTTGAATCGTTCTTTCGCTTTCAGTCACAAGTCGTTGAGAAATCACGCGTGCTTGTATTTTTGGCAGCGTCTCGGTCAGTTTTTGAAATTTAGTGCGCTTTGTCCAAAAGTTTTATTTTCATTTCTGATTTTTGGGATCACTGCAATTTTTCACGATGAACAAGCTATATATTGGAAATCTGAATGAAAACGTGACCGCAGAGGACTTGGTTAAAACCTTTGAAGACTACAAGATTCCTTACTCTGGGCAGTTTCTAATGAAAACTGGCTACGCGTTTGTTGATTGCCCGGACGACCAATGGGCTATGAAAGCAATTGAAACATTTTCTGGTAAGTAACTTAACCGTATTGGACTCATTATAACCAATTTAGCCTCAACACACACTCACCCGCTAAAATAAACAAATTACTTTTTCACAATCGCGCGAAGTCCTTACGTTTAGAATTCCGACTCTACTCTTTTTATTGTACGGAATATATGTGGGGAACGTGCACCAATGCAATTCTACTCTTCGCGATTTAAAACTGCAGAATGTTAAATTATTTGAGCTCATGGCGTGCAAGATAGTTAACTTTTACACAGCTGTGTTTGCCAAGACTGTTTAATGTACATCAGCAGCGACTTTCTTTTGCTCTGCTATCCTGAGTGTTGTATAGCTAGACAATGCTGAGAGGGAGTACTACAGTTGATTCCAAAATTCATAGAAATTTGCCTTCACGTTCAGTGTGCAAGAAGCATTGAAACCTGTCTTCACATTCAGTACAACCTACTGAGTACAGCTATAGAATCAAATCTCACCCCTCCCCCTTTTGGCTAATAGGCCATCATAGTAAGATAAAACACGGTTCGTGTAGCCTACATTATGCAAAAACGTAAATGAAACAAGTATGTTGAGTATGTTAACACTGCTACATGCACCACGCAGATTTAAACAACATATTTTGCTTCCTGTCCACAAAACGCCTCTTTAAGATTGTCCACATATGTTGCATGTGATGTGTGCTCTATATACTACGAAGGTCGCCATGCTGTTCTGTTTCACTTGAAACAGATTCGCAAGCAAGAAGATTAATTAATCTATGTTTACTGTTGTCTGATTGTGAGATCGTATGTGGGCACTTGCAAATAACTGCGAATAAAGTACATGAATGACTTCCATGATACAGATGACGAAAAGAGCTTATGTAGCCTCTCTGCCCAGTGAACCTTGAAAGTGCAACAAGAATGTTGCAGGTTTAAATGTAGTCAACAGAGCAGTGGTCTCGAAAATACTTTATAATTGTGTAACTTTTCAACTCCACGTAAGAGCCCCGTGTAGGCCATTCACACAAGTTATTTCAGTGGGGTTAAAAATATATGGGTGTAATCCATTCACACTGAACGAAGCTAACTTGTGTGTCCATGGAGTAGCATTTGAAAGCGTGAGATGGCCCACATTAATGTTAGTTGCATATCTTGTATTAAAAACATAGAGCCAATGAATGGAATAGGTGGCCTCATTTTGAGAACGTTTTTTCTTCTTTCTTTCTTTTTAGGTAAAGTGGAACTTCACGGCAAACGAATTGAGGTCGAACATTCTGTCCCTAAGAAACAAAGGTATTTGGCTTTCTCCTAAATACTTGGCCAATTGTTTGTATATCGTCCTGGTGTAGATCTGCTTCGCCCACCCTCTCGCGGAGAGTCCAAATTGGGGGTCTTCTGGATTTGAGCATGCGGCTTTTTCCCCTTTAACTTTGGTTCAAAACTCTCCGTCTTTTCATTTCGATACAAATCGTTTGTGTTAATGGGCAAATTATGTGATAGTCAAAGCCAGTGCACAAAAGGCCTATGCTTTTGTATGCCGTCACGTGCTTTTACATTAATAGTTGCTGCTACGTGTGGTATATTGCGATAATTCATTCTTTATTTGCTACACATAAAACAGGCCAGTGGTGGATGCAGTGTCATTACTTCAATGACTTGTTTCATACACGAAGGCAGGGCCTTGGCCTAAAGTAAGGCCTAGGCCTCGATGGATCTTTTGTTGAATGAGCCATAAGCACTAGGCTGTTGTGCATGGTAGATCGATGGACCAATAATATGTTAGAAAAAGTCGATTTGTTTATAAAAGACGGTGGTAAATTATTGCATTGGACAAGATGTGTTTCCTGCACGCTACACTTTTTTTTAAGGATCATGGCGAGCACTGCGCTTTGTGCTTAAAAATGGATTGTTTATCAATGGAAACGTAAAATTGTTGAATACATAAATTGCTGCTGTGTAATGCGTTCATATATTTTTTTTGTACTCACGCCTGTGGTCTCCACTGGTCGAAGGTTTAGTTTAATGTGTGAATGCTCTTACTGTGAGAATTGAATTGTGGCGAATCTGGAGGTGGCGTTTGTGAAGGCATACCTCCAGTACTTGCTAGAATTGGCTATATCTTGAATAACTTGAATAATTTTGTGTTTTTGGATTTGTTTTTTATATGAATTCGAGTGAGAAAGCGACAGAATGTTCTAATGATCCAGCAGCTTGTGTTTAAAATTCCCCTCGCTCCACCCTACCCACCTTTTCTCACCCCATTCTCGACACGTTAGAAAATTAGCATAGCCATTCAAGAAAAGATTGATTCACTTATTACACGAATACGAAGACCTGTGCAGATTCGCAATTATATGAGTCAGAAAGCTAGTCAATATGAGCAAAATCCCAAAATCTCTGCACGTAAACTCTTAGAAGTGCATATATTTGATGGCAGGACACAAAATATGTGCTCATAAAAACAGGCCCATGACTGCCATTGAGAAGGTAGGCCTGCACCCTAACGCTTTACACGTTTGGGCACCTCTGTGTGCTTGGGCAGCACACCTTTTTAAATTAATTAATACATATATTTTTGCTGAACGTCGTATTAAGAGTTAAATGAGAGCAGGTTTGCACATTTAATATTGAGATACGATCCATAAACATTATTTTTAATCTACGGCCGAAGATGAGCTTCTACGTATCAACAAGACGTAAACGTTTTTTTTTTTTTTACAGCCATTTAAGAGATGGTGATCACTTTGTCCAGTGCATTCCTAGTGGGCTACGTTGGTTTACAGGTTTTCCTGCTACAGAAATGTGAATATTTGGAGAATTGCATTGAGAGCTAGCACTGTGGCACAGACTTGAATGACACGTGGTCGCCATCATTGCAAAGAGTAATCCAACGTCAGCAATTGAGAAAATGGCGCACAACACAGCCCAATGGCGAATGCTCCAATTGAAAGCACGTGAACAGGCGTGGACATTTTTAGAAAAGTGTTTATACTGATCCATGTACATTTACGCCGAAAAATTAAATATCAGTGGACCAGATTTAAAACAATATTGATATTAGTAGCAGTAGTAGTAATGAATAATTGCAGTGGTAGGCTAAAGTGTGTCCAGTAGGCGATACCAGAAACGTTTTTTCCCCTCACTGTTTTATTTAGTTTTTTTTTTTCTTTCAATTTTATTTCTAATTATGAATTGGTCTTATTCTAGAATATCCCTTCGCTGACCACTTGGGTTGGGTATCTTTTTTTTATTCCTTTTATTTAAAGTTTCACATGTAATGTCAATAAAAAAAAAAGACATAATAAAAGCCTTTGTTCTGGACACAGTTATAGTCCACGTGTGAATTAAACTAAACTCATCACTCTTTTCCACCGCCATTTCCCTACGCTTAGTTTTGGTGACTTTCCTTTTCTACGCAACGCGTAAATTCACAAAGGGGAAAGAATATCTTAATATCTGCTATATTAAAAACTATCAAATATATTTTTATAGTGGTACTTATTAATGTATGCCCTTGTTTTTCCTACAAGCGAGGTATAAATCGCAAAAAATCCAAAATTGCGTGACATAAACGAACTTTTTTTCGCTCGCTTTTAGTGGTATAGACGAATCAATTACTTAACTATTAATTTGAAAAAGCTCAAATGGACAGAGTGTGCTTTGCAAAGTTAACGCAGCTGAGTGTGTGAAGGGGGTGGGGGCCATAGGAACCGTGCTTTTCCTATTGTGCACACCCCTTGTGTATGGTAACGTGGGTTCTTATGTAAGTGTTCATAAGTGGAATGAGAAATGGTTTCTTTCAAAGTGTGGCCAGTGTTTAAAAAAAAACAAGGAAAAATCGTCATTCAGGTTGCTTGTCTATATGTAACGTTAAGTTGTGTCTGATAAGCTTGAGAAAAGTGCTCCTGTGTACTTTAAAGAATACTGAGTGTGTTCACGCATACTGATGTGTGGAAGCACGTAGCAGTGTATGAGTGAATGGCAGCTCTGTACTCATACATAGTCCCTCCATGCTTTAAGGTTGATGAGGCAATGTTGCATTTGTATGAACGAGCTATTTATGGTGCCTTGTTAAGTTGCCTGTGAAGTTTTGAGACTTGGGAGAGTAAAGACAAAAGAAGTTCTACATCACCCATTGAGAACCAGGTATTAAAGAGTGTAACAATAGATCCTCAGCCCCCCTACCATTTCAAGCAGCACTGTCCTGTTAGCACCACCTCTTTACAGCGTTGGGTCCATATCAGTGTTGGTTCAGACTTGCTTTGAACATCCATACTGGTACTAGTTTGTTTATTAACTTAGGTTTAATGCTAATTTGATGATAAATTAGTTAGGCAAAGTATCAGATGAACATATGTTGCCATTGGACTGTGAATAGAACATATTTCATAAAACTAATATGTTCACAATAGGAGTGTACTGTTCCTGTGCCTCCCTGGCCCCTTCACATACAGAACTGGGTTAATTTGCAGAGTACACTTTGTCTGTTTTGGCTTTTTTTTGTTGATAAATACTAGAGTAATTGATTAAATTGTCTGTCTGTTTGTTTAGCTCACACAGTTTAGGAAAAAAAATCTTAGAACGTCTCCTAGAATTTTGAGAAATTGCACTTGGTACTTTTATGTACATATTCCTGCTTATAGATGTGTTCGAAATATTTTTTTTAACATGATCAAATATGACTAAGTAGTAAATTTGAAGTGTTGTAATTTGTCGGCTCACAGTGGTCAGAGCATGACCCCCTCCCCACCCCTAATCATGGCCAGAAATGTTACAACCAGAGAGCAATGGATGGATTACTGTTGCTGTACCTGTGAGTTCCACTTAAGAACTTTGATCAATAAGGGTACAAATAAGTACGGAACTATCATATTAGTGTGTACTTTTATAGTGCTGCATCCTTGAGTACAGACATAATCAAAGCATAAGTTAGATAAAGTAAACAAGCTCTTTGTAAAAACACTAATGCAACCCATTTGGACCTTAAAGGTACTCTATGAAAAGTTCTTTAGAAATTGTCTCTAGAATTTGCTGCTATAGTGTTACTGGTCTAGCCTTCAGGGAAGTGAAGGTGGATGGTTTCCCCCAAAGGGCTGTATGGGGTAGGTGCTTGTGTGGTATTGGTGGGGTTTGTTTTTACTGAACATTTGGTAAAAAGGGAGCCATACTCCCCTGCCACTGATTACATTCATTACAGTAATTGTTTGTTTTGTAAAGCTATTCTGTAATTGCGGCCATTTTGTTCCCAGCCTTCCATTATGAGTGACTTGTCTTTTGGCATTTGTAGAAAGTGATTGACTGTCATTTGCAATGGCCAGCGATTTGTGTTGTAGTGTGGCGGTTGTTGTTTTAGGGCTGAGGAACTATGTTAAAGGTTCAGGGGTAGAAGTTGCTTGTATTTAGAAAAATGAACAGTTGAAGTGACCATGCATTTCTCTAGACTTTAGAAGGTTGTCTGTTCTTACTTTGAAAGTCCATAAGAAAGTGTAAAACAAAAAATGGACTTATTAGCACAGCTTAATAACGTGAGTGAGGTTAAAAAAAATAGGTCCTGCATTATAACTGTTCTGTTGAGTCAATAGATAAGTGTGCATAGTACGTATGCAATGGAAGTCTTAAGCCACAACAGTTGCCTGCTTGCTCCCTCCTCCCTTTCTCTCTCTCTCTCTCTCTCTCTCTCTCTCTCTCTCTCTCTCTCTCTCTCTCTCTCTCTCTCTCTCTCTCTCTCTCTCTCTCTCTCTCTCCCTCTCTCTCTCCCTCTCCTTTTCTCTCCGTCTCCACTCGTAATCGTAGTACTACAGAAGGCAGGGGGAGGGGTTTCAGGCAGAGGGGGGTGCGACCAATCAGGAGCCAGGAACACCTGTGTGCAGATTCTGAGAAGCCGTTGATGGTGTTGCACGAGAGGCCACTTTTCTCTCTTTCTCACACCGACAGTATTTCTTTTTTATTCTTTCATTCTTTTTCTCTCCGTTTTTCTCTTTATTCTCTGTATAGCTGTTTGCAACACACACACACACATACACACAGTGGACGTGCATCTCCTGCATTTGATTGTATTCCAGATATATGCAACATTTCTGCCAGGCTAGCAGAATGTACATGTAGGCGTTCATTCAGCTGGGTCATATGACCAGTGCAACTCTCTGTGGGCTTGCCTGATCAGGAGAGGGAGAAGAGCGGAGAGAAGAAGAGGAGAAATGAGGAGAGGAGGGGGCACAAGGACTGCAGGGGCGTTGTACAGTGACACTTCCTCAAGGGCTTCCCTTTTCTGCCATTGTGGAATGTCTCAAAAT